CCTCCTCTCTTTGGTTGCCATGAGCTATCAGCCACCAGTGTATGATAGCTAAAGCAGAGGAAACCCATACACTGGTCTCACTTTAAACAAATAGTGGTTTGTTAATTTTTCTGGTGGCAAAAAAAACCCTGACTAGTCATGGCTTGACTACTAGAGGAACACCACCCATAACTTTTTAAGGTAGATAAAGCAAAGTTTGTGTCTACTGAAACAAGTTATAAAAAGTTGTCAAAGGCTGAAGGGGTCTAAAGTATGGAAGTATTTCGGCATTCTACTACATCAGCTACGCTGCAAGGTTTCAATTCCCTTCAATTCAGTTTATTTCTATAGCGCCAAGTCACATCAGAAGTCATCTCAGGGCACTAACGGAAACATTCATATATATATATATGAAATGTAAGTTAATAACATTATTTATCTGCTTTGAGTCTAACTCTGTTGCAGACTCTCATCCTGAGCAAATATAAAAGCGACAGTGGGCAGGAATAACTCCCTCGTGAGGAAGAAACCTCCAGCAGAACCAGGCTCAGGACAAGCGGCCATCTGCTTCGACCGGCTGAGTTTGAAGAAGGAAGGAGGAACAGATACACAATGGCAGGTCAAATCAATGCAGGAACACAAATATTGGATGAGCTGGTGGTGGCAGGGGAGAGGGGGGTTGGGGTGGGGGTGTCTGGGTGTTCCCCCTGAAAATTTTGAATAAAGTAGACGTGATTTCCTGTATTTTGGTGTATTTTAATGGGTTATTAAACAACTACGTTTATCTACATTTGTAAACACTCTGCTTCTGTCTTACTTGACATGAGCGTCAAGTAAGTCAGGCTCGGCAGTGAGCCCGACTCTGTCCCTGTTTGTTTTTGTCTGACTCCACCTGGGAAACCTCCAGGCGCCTGCCTGCGGCTGTGGGCTCCTGCCTGCGTGGTACTTACCCCCTCAACTCTTTTAGGTGTGGAGATTTCTTTAAGGATAGACGTGGGAATGCTTCACTTGAAGAGGACGTTTGTATGCTGTTGTTTATTTTCAGTTTGCAATTCCAATATAAGTTTTATTCGTTCAAGGCAGTCATATTTGTTCATAACTTTATTATTAGTAAGCCTGAGAGTTACAGGATCCAAGCAAACAGTTACCGAACGCACCCTGTCAAAATAAGAGAGTTCCTGGATTCTGTTCCAGCAGGATCCAGCTCAAATTAAGCCCTAGCTATTTTTCTAAAGTTTGCATGGCTAACTACATCTGAAGAGGCGCACGGAGCTAATGATGAGCCACTTTGATTTTTTTTTTTTTTACCTGCTAAAAGCACTCGGTGAAGTTAGATGTACTGTATGTCTGCTACATTTTCAAAAGGAGGAAAGATTTAGACTAGAATGTGGGCTGATGTTCAATTTATTAATGCTGTTTCTAAAGGTGTTGTGTCAAGTTGTATTCTGCAAGATCTCAGTTCCCTCCAGCTGTTCTACATCTTTTTTTTTTACTTATGTTGTTTTATGCAACAGTATTTTAGATAAAATGCTATAAAAATAAAACATCTTAATCTTGTCTGTTTGTTTCATTTTGTCCATTGTACCAAAAGAAACACATCTTGATGTATTTAAATTTTGACTGTAATCTAAGGTGGAGACACATCTGAACAGGGTAACACAATCTAACACAACACCTGACCTGTTTGTGTTTGTGTACATGTGCCTGTTTTAAGCACAGTTTACTGAGTTGATATTGTTGACAGCAAAATTAACAATATTTATAATGGCAAGTGTGTAATGCATGCAATTAGGACAATTTATAAATTATATTAAAAAATAAAAAAAATTATAAATTATAATATAATAATATAATAAATTGTATTATTAAAATTGTATAAAAAAATAAGCAAGTATGCTGAATTGTATTGAAACTTTAAACCTATATGTTCGGCTTTACTTTGCAAGCCTTTTTTTTTTTACATTTTAATAGTGGTATATTGTAAATACCAAAGTTGACAAGTAAAAATAGAACAAATAAAAGTAAAATAGTTATTTAAGCTTTGTGCAGAAAAATAATATAGTTAGATTTATCAATAACTTAATTGATAGATAAGTTAAAATAATAATAGCCGATAGATGCAGTCCTACTTGTGTTTTTGAACCATGATAATTTAAGATCCTACATTTTAGATGCAAAACCAAACAACGCTGTTGGCACAGTTTTATTAAAAATAAAAAGGTTAGTCAAATCATAGGAAGGAGATTTCTTTGCCACATTTGCAGCAGAAAGGTGACAATTAAATGTGCTAATAACACATATATGTAAAAACATCTAAGAGTCCACCACTTCACCCACTTCTTTTAAACTGCATGTGCATTAATAAACTGTTAAAAGCCTTTTCCAACAGTGGCATAAAATAAGAGTCATTAAAACCACTTCTTTCATTAAACTGCTGTTGCATGACTGTGTGAAATCGTTAATAAAAACATAATAACTTGCGTGTATAAAATGTATGCTTGAGCACTCATTTAGCAAAAATCCTCAAGGCATACAAACTGCACCTCACTCTTCTACTATAATGTAAACGCACAGAAATTAGAAGACATTTTCTTACGAACCAAATGTTGCAATAGACAGCAAACCTCGATAAGTCAAATTAAAATCTGATAATGTACACTTCCTGCAATGCTGCAGCTCCGTTTTTAATGATCTCAAAAGAACGAGATAAAAAATAATAATTAAAATATGTTTCTCTTTACAAAATGTGGTTTGCGTGTTCTCCAGTTGTGTTTCCTCCTGATACTCAGGTTTCCTCTATGCATGTTAGGGTAATTGGTAACTCTAAATCGTCTATAGGTGCGAGTGAGAGCGTTAATGGTTGTTTGTCTCTATGTGTCCTTGTGATGGACTGGAGACCTGTCCAGGATGTCCCCTGCCTCTTACACAGTGACAGCTGGAGACAGACCCAGCTCCCTCTCTATTGGTTATTAGTCTCTGCAGAAAACATTATGATGCATTCAAAGACCAGATAAAAAGGCACTCATTGAAGGATGCCCTCACTGAGAGGGATGAGAGACAGACTTTTCACTCATTTGGTGGATTAGCTGTGATGTCAGAGACACAGATGCAAAGGATTTATTCAGTTAGTTATGCAGCTCATCGCTGAACAAGTGTGCCTGTTATCAAATATGCAGCTTTTTATGTGTGCCAGATTTCCTGCTTTGTGGAGACGACCATTGGCCTTGAGGCATTACAGCAATGACATATGACAACTCAACTAGAGTGAGTGGAACTAAACTTTCATTTAATTGTATTTATTCTAAAAAAGCATGCCTTTGTTCAGTTTTGTGAAATAAACATGGTTTTGAAGGTAAATATTTTGTTGCTTAAATATGCTATATTGATCTGGAGCTAAAATCAATAGGGAGATAATGATCTTTGCCCGTTTGTTTGTCATGTTAGTAAAATATCTCATAAACTACCTATTTAAATTAAAATTTCAGGCGTAGATATTAGTCTGTATTCCTTCAAGGAATGCTAGTCTTTAAATCAAGTCCATTTAGAAAAAAAGAAACACATTTCAAAATTGAAAAAGTTAAGTTTCTAGTCTAGACATCCAATAAATGAGTGAAGTGAACGTCATTAAATCTGGTGTTTTAAGAGTGCAAAAGGTCAAACATTATCATAAGCCAGCAGGTCTGATAATTGCTCTGCAGAACTGTGGTTGAAATGCACGTTAAACGAGTGACTCACCAGCTGGTTTTTATCTTATGTTGGACAGGAGCTGACTGCAGAGCCGGACACCCATTATCCCTGCTGGGTTAACACACTCAGACCTGCAGTGACAGATCTGTCGGCTGCTACAGGTGTGGAAACACACACTGGTTGGAGGTTATTGATAGAACTGATAGAGCAGCTGAAAGATGATAATTGCAGGTCTATCATTCCTTGAAAGAAAATGCACTTTGTCTTTCCATGTTTTCGATGAAAATCATCCTGTGATGAGAACTGACAGTTTTAAAAGTAACATAAAAAACATGTTTCGCACTGTTAGTGTTTAGCACATTTCTTAGTTTAAATCTTAGATTCGTATTACTGTTTCTTTTTACAATTTATATTGTTGCTATTGTTGGCTGTAACTGACCCTGTGTGCACAATTTCGTTCCACCTCGTGTACCACATGTGACGCCACTGACAATAAAACCTGCTTGAACTTGAACTTAAAAAACAACGTTATACACTATCACGTGCAATATCGCTCATGATCTTAACATAATCTGTTAGTGCTTCAAGTATTTAGAATAATAATAGTCACTACTACACAAAACTTTAGACTAATATCTATAAAATTAATTGATTAACAGCCTTTTTGGTGTTGCTAATGTCAATTAGGTGTGGCAGCCATGTTAAACTGGGTTGGCAACTAAACTTGTAGATGCACAGCTATTCATTACTTTCCAAAACGTTCATTAAATCCAATGAGCCATGAGTTATTTTGTTAACAGACAAACAGAGTTGATTCCAATAATTTATGGGAAAGTTTAATAACCAGGTCTTGAGTGATCAGTTTGATGCTCTGATGATAAGATGGGGCTCAGTCTCAGCCACTATCACACCAAACTTTAGCTCATCTGCAGAATTGGCTGAGTCCTAGCCTATCTTCTGTTTGCTAAGACTGCTTAGCTATGGCAGCCATCTTGAACTGGCTTGACTCAAAAAGTTTATCATTTAAGATGAATCTAGTGATTACTTCCTGAAAGTTTCATTAAAAAGTGTTCATTTCTTCACGGGATATTTTGCTAACAGACAAACGAGCACGTCCAATCGAACGGTGCAAGCTCATGAATGCATAAAAGGCTGTTGCAGTTATTGATCCCCCGTCCTGCTCAGGTGGGACCATGTTGGGTTTGTTGCGCTCCCAGGAGCAACTTTGTGACTGACAGGTGGTCGCAGCTGGACAGCTTGGCTGATGCGCAGCTGCAGCCTGCGCGTGCGTTTAAACACAAACACACACAGCAGCTGTGTGGAGGTCGCCTTACCTGGGATCTCCTGCTGAGGAACATGCGTGAAGCTGAAGCCTCTCCTGACGCAAACCTCCCTCACCTCGCTGCAGTTCCGCGCTTGCAGATCTGCCCCCGCCGCCGCTGACAGCACGGAGAAAGTGCAGAGGATGGTCTCCAGTCTGAGCATGGTCCCACTTCTGCAAAGATCCGCAGGCTCCAGCAGAACCGCAGGTACTTTTTAAAAAAAATGCCTGCTCGCGCAAAACGTTCGGAACTCAACTGATAATAATAATAATAATACTAATACTAATAATAGTGATGATGCTAATAATGTCTACCAAGCGGGTTTGCATCGCAGGCAGGGATTCTGCGCCTCAGGACGGAGGAGTGGAGGTGCCACATGAATCCCGGCGCGTTCACTCAACTTGTGTGAAAAGGAGCTCCTGTGCGCTCCGAGCTGCTGCTGAATGCGCTGTGGCGTGAAGCGCGTGTGTGTTCGGATCAGCTGCGCCCGGCTGCTGGGCGGAGAAACACGCAAAATGTGGAGTGGAGTAAGAACTCGTCGGTTCAGAGGGAGCCGCGCGAGCACATTCAGAGAACTCTGTCAGATGAAGATGAAGAACAAATGACAAGGAAAAGATGGAAGAGGAGCCATCATGGCTCACACAACTTATGTTGAAATGAAATCTAAACTCTTCTGGGAACATCTGGAAATGTTAATTTTTTTTTTTTTTTTTTTTTTTTTTTTACAAGTTGTCACTCCCTCTACAAAAAAATTAAATACAATAACCAAAAAATAAAATAAAATAAAAAAACAAACATTTGAAAGAACAATTAGGATATACAAAAATGGGGTAAACCATTGACAACAGTCAATATCTTACCTGCTATAGATAGCTCTTTCCCAGTGGTGTAGTCTATTGTTGTAGTGGGTATACTGTGCTTAGAAACCAAAGTACAATGTAATAGTCAAATTATTTTGATTTTTAAGCATATTGAACATTTCCAAATTTCTCTGATGCTTATATTTGAATAAATGTACAACAAACTTTGTACAACAGTTGACTTTGTATTAACCTCCTAAGACCAGAACTCTTGCATATGTGGATGCCAGGTCCTAGGAGGTTAAAAATGTGTTATATCATTTATAAAACAGTATCAAAGCAAAACATGTTCAAGTGTTAAGCAGTGACTAGAGGATTATACAATAAATCGCTGGATAAGCAAATGCAATAAACAAATGACGCATATAATGTTACATAAAAGTTTAACTGTTGTTTTAGATATCACTGACATGTGTCTAATGATATGTCTTGTATCAATGGGCTCTTTTAATTGAGTATACTGAAATTCTTAATCTTTTCTAGTGGGTATACGCTGTATACCTGCATATCATATAGACTACACCACTGCTCGTTCCTCAATTTATATAAAGGTTAATTCTGACCAGACTAACAAGCTAATGGTTATTCCCAGCGGGATGAGGACCCAAGTGTGTGACTGCTAGGGTTTAAACAACTACATATTTTTTTCAAGTTGACTTTAACATGTTAAAAGTCGAATTGACGTCAACTTGTCGATGACGTCATAGGAACTCAAGACGCTATATCATATTTACAAAAAAAAAAAAAGAACAACAAAATATTGGCCGTATGTTTACGCTCTTATCATTTATCTACTTTGCTTTCAGCCTCATTTAGACTAAAGCTCATCAATTTGATCAAAATCGAAATTTATTTATCCAAGGAGTGTTTGAAATGTTTTCTACAACAGATAAAATATAAATAATTAATCACAGCTTTCTCAGAAAACCCTATTTACATAAATCTGAACTGTAACTTGATGTGTGTTTTTTTTTTTTTTTACATGGGATGACATGTGCACATATGAAGAAGAAAAAAAAAAACAAAGTAAATATTCTGTGTAATCCTAAAGGTTTCACATGAAGATTTACACCAGGAACTGTTTCATGCATAGTGAAAAAAATGTTTCAGAACATCAGTTTGTCCATGTGCTAAATGAGTTTAATAAAATACACATATAAGTATCTTTAAAGTGGAATGTAACAGAGTGTATTTACTTCAACCGATTCATCTGTTAGCTGCTCTCCTCTCAGATTATCTTCCACGGAGGCTGATTCTGCTGAACTTGCTAAAAATGCAAATGTTTACTCATTTTCCCTCCATCCATCTCACACCAAAACACAAATCTGAAGCCATGTCGCACCGGATAGCTCACGGATGTACGAGATATGATGAAGATGAGAGGGCAAGCTCTAAGAGCACTATTGATTTTTGAACAGCTTGATCCCCTCGTAGATCAACAGTGGATTAATTCGACTGCCGTCACCGTACAGCAGATTCCTATTAGTATGGGATGCCACATTCTGTAGGTACTTTCAAGTGACATTGGCTTGTCTCTGAGGGGATGTTGCACCGGAAGATTTTAGATCAAACAGATAAAAATCTGTAAGTGTAGATCCTTCTTTTTACATTTTTATTAAAGTTTTTAATCTCAACATAAGTGCTCACTTTGAAGTTTCATTTAAAAATAAAATCACTATTCACATTGATCATGTCCTCTGATAGGTCAAATCACTTAAAGAGATAGCTCATGTTTTTTGAAGTGGGGATATGTAGAAACATTATGACCAGTTAACATCTTACCTGTTGTAGATAACGCTTCATCAACCTCAGTTAGGAGAAATGGAGTTTAATTGTTATTAGAGTGATGAGTTAGTGCACAATGGAGACAGAAGTAGGTTTCTGTTATTTTAAACCAACTGGCTGGAATTTTTTTTTATAGATGTTAATACTTCTATGTACATACCATATAATACAAATATTAGACATTTTATAATAAAATAAATATATTATATTTGCTAATGTCACTTATTTACTGCTTTGCAGTTGAGCAAGTTTTTCATGAAAATACAATTCTCCAATCAGACTGTTTTAATTTTTGTCTCCAGGCAGAAACAGAAGCTCTTATTGGTCAGGACTTCACGGACATTAGAGAAGGATTTAAAAACAGATAGGACAATTAACCAATCATAACGTTGATGTAGAGTGGGCGGGACCAAAATAGGAGCCATGAGCCTGCGAGAAGGCCTTGCAAAGTTTATGTATGTATTTATTTATCCATTCATTTAATTTAGTTCGTTTTACCACGTTAAGATTTGTGATGCATTCAATTGCAACCTGTAAATCCAAAAAATCCTCACTGAAATTGCAGTTGCTTAAAAAAAAAATGAATCAAATTAAAATTAGGTTTATATTGATAATTTTCTACATTAAAGTTGTGTTTTGCTTTCATTATATGATGACATTTTACAGAAACAGTAAGTTCTGTGTGTTAATGTTAACTGTTAGTGTGAATTACTCAAATTACATGTTGTAAATTGCGCCGCTCAAGGTGGCTGCGTGTCGGAGTAGCTCTCTTATATTCATGCTGAGATTTTGCTTTTGAAAACTTTAATTACTTTTTTTTTGGGATGTAAATCTTTTTTTTTTCGGATGATTACTTCCTCTGGTATCAGATGCTGTGATGCTGGAAGGATTTTTACTGAAACTTGTTAACTTTTGGACATTTGTTATGGTGCGTAACCATATTATTTTGAGCATGCATCAGGATAACAACAAGGTGGTTTTCTACTACTGGGAGTTGCTGATTAACATCTCAAAAGCTCAAATAATACCTCAACTGCCCCAAATCCCAAAGGAGAAAAAGAGGTGCTGTGGATGCATTCCCATCTACCTGGAGTCGGTGCTCGAGCACCTGACTGCCGAGATTTTGGAGATGGCAGGAAACGCGGTTTGTGACAGTGGGAGGAGTTTCTGTGTAGTTTTCTGTGTAGTGTGCTGAGCATGCATCAGGATCTTTTCTGTGTAGTGTTTTTGCATTTCTGTTCAGGTTTGTTATTAGTGACTGCAAACAAACGACACCATAAGTCAGAAGTCGTACATGATGGATAAATAGAGGAGAAACCCTCTATGTCAGAGAGTTACATACTTGTGAAACTGAAAAGAAAGTTATCTCCAAAGAAAGTATTTAATAAAAAGTTACAATAATATCCCAACTGAAGACCTAGCTCCCAAAATAACAGTTCACCCCTGAATTTATATAAATACTTTTATAATTCCACTATGACAAGGATGTAAACAGGTGAGACACTAATTGTTCCTAAACTGCATACAGATCTGCACAATCCCTTCATTTTAAAACATATTTGGTTCAATCATCTTTTAGAACAAATAAATCTCAAATGAATTTTATGACTATTGCCCACTGTTAAAAAGTGAGAGGCAGGCGAAAATGTTTCTGTGTTAGCAAAATATCTTATGAACTACCAGACAAATTTTGGTTGCATGAAAGGTGGCAAGCCGTATGCGTTCCTTTAAGAAAATATATATTTTTTATTTAACAAGTCTCCATCTTGGAAGCTTGAAACCTGTATGATGTTTTTCACAAAGTGTTTGCAAATAATAGCACATCTGGCTAAAATTAATATTAAAATATAAACATGTTAAATGCAGTCTTGTGTAATGACATTCGAAGCAGCTCATCTGTCAGCTTCCTTCATGAATTCTCTGCTAAGCTTTCAAAGTGTGACTTTGTGAGCCGAACACGTCACCGTCAAATAACACTCAAGACTTTTGAACCCAGGGGATGGGTTCATTCAAATGAATACAGTTCGTCACTGAAAAATTAATTTCATGGGAAATTTTCTCTTCAAAGAAAGAGCTGACAGTTTTTATTAATATACAGTGAAACCCTGCACTTAATTGCACTGTAGTCTTCACCAACAACTTAAGCCGACTTTTGAGGGCAGCTTGTTGTTTTCTATCTGCTACTCCCGTCTAAAGGGGTCGCCACAGGAAGCGACCTTTAATGAAAGATTTGGTAGCTGTTTTACACCAGATGCCCTTCTTTCTGCAACCTGGGATCAAACCTGTGGCCTCAGAATTTCAAGACAACAACACTGACCTCTGAGCCACTACACCCCCTCCTTGACCAGCTAGCGATACACTCTAATCCTTTGCTTTCTGACTGTGACTTGGGCTCTCGTTCCTCTTGCGTCAGACTGAAAACCACTGAAAATAGAGTTTATTCTGCTGTCAAAAATACAGACTTTCTTTCAAAACAATAAACACTGCAGCCATCAAAAGTTGCTAAAATATATTTTGG